GGGTTGTCTAAAGCCATAAAGATCACATTTCCTCACAAGCACAGGTCTGCTACATAATTCACATAATTATTATTTCATACTGATTTAGATCTCTTTAAACCCGTTTTTAATCTTCAGCACTGATAATTAATGCTAAATAATCCATTAGCTTCCTATCGCATGAAAACCTTTCTCCATGAGCAAAGATGTTGGCTCTGAAGTTGAAGGGGTTAATGGCGAATGGTGCTTTCAAGATAGAATATCCGTCATTGATAGCATCTTGCAGAAATTCAGTGAAAGTCACCGCAATGTGGCTATTTACATGGTAATGCTGTTTTGTTAGAGCTTGGGGCACATGCTCTGGCTATTTTCAATAGCCTGGTTTAGCATTTTCCAGCAATGGCGTGGTTTCTGGTTTCTTGCATCTAATCTGAGAGAAAACAGAGAAGGAGCCAAAATACATAAAGAATATATTAATACCAAAGGCAATGGATTGTGTGGGTAATATGTTTGAGTTTTTTTTTTTTTTTTTAAGTGAGTAAAGCTGGCAGAAATTTGGCCGGTTCAGCAGGGACCTGAGCGAATTTCGATTTGTGTGTGCTCATCCTTGTTCAACGGAAGTCGACCATTACATTGATGTCTGTTGAATGGACAAGCTGTCCTTGTGGGGGGTTGTGGAGATTCCTCCATCTACTTTGTTTATGTGGATGGAGAAATATGGCTGAAAAAAAAACCATTTATGGCCAGCTTAAGTGTGAAATTTTCTTCCGTGCAAGACAGCCTAGTTTATAGTGTAATAAAAAAATGCTGGTATTTCTAGAGTCTGCTGTTTGTCATCTAGGGGTATAATGTATTGGTTGCTGATAAGGTTATTAAAGAGGCAAATTTACATTCTTCTGGTGTTTTGTACATTGCTGTATAAATTAACACTTGTAACAAACAAAAGAACCAGCATTGAGAAGAACCCAGCATCATCCACTACATGTTGTCTGTATCTTAGTATATCTCCATGCTAAAACAATAAAATGGTGGCTTGGACTTCCTAATTTGGTGCTCATGTGATACATAATGACAGCAATTCCCTTATATGACAGCCTGGTCTACAACATGATCTTTATGCATTTTGGGCTTTCATGATTTTAAAGAAGATCTATCTTTCCTTTTTTTTTCTATATATACAGTCAGGTCCATAAATATTGGAACATCGACACAATTCTATCATTTTTGGCTCGATACACCACCACATTGGATTTAAAATGAAATGAACAAGATGTGCTTTAACTGCAGACTGTCCGCTTTAATTTGAGGGTATTTACATCCAAATCAGGTGAACGGTGTAGGAATTACAACAGTTTGCATATGTGCCTCCCACTTGTTAAGGGACCAAAAGTAATGGGACAATTGGCTTCTCAGCTGTTCCATGGCCAGGTGTGCGTTATTCCCTCATTATCCCCAATTACAATGAGCAGATAAAAGGTCCAGAGTTCATTTCAAGTGTGCTATTTGCATTTGGAACCTGTTGCTGTCAACTCTCAAGATGAGATCCAAAGAGCTGTCACTGTCAGTGAAGCAAGCCATCATTAGGCTGAAATAACAAAACAAACCCATCAGAGAAATAGAAAAACATTAGGCGCGGCCAAAACAACTGTTTGGAACATTCTTAAAAAGAAGGAACGCACCGGTGAGCTCAGCAACACCAAAAGACATGGAAGACCACAGAAAAAAAACTGTGGTGGATGACTGAAGAATTCTTTCCCTGGTGAAGAAAACACCCTTCACAACAGTTGGCCAGATCAAGAACACTCTCCAGGAGGTAGGTGTATGTGTGTCAAAGTCAACAATCAAGAGAAGACTTCACCAGAGTGAATACAGAGGGTTCACCACAAGATGTAAACCATTGGTGAGCCTCAAAAACAGGAAGGTTAGATTAGAGTTTGCCAAACGACATTTAAGAAAGCCTTCACAGTTCTGGAACAACATCCTATGGACAGACGAGACCAAGATCAACTTGTACCAGAGTGATGGGGAAGAGAAGAGTATGGAGAAGGAAAGGAACTGCTCATGATCCTAAGCATACCACCTCATCAGTGAAGCATGGTGGTGGTAGTGTCATGGCGTGGGATGTATGGCTGCCAATGGAACTGGTTCTCTTGTATTTATTGATGATGTGACTGCTGACAAAAGCAGCAGGATGAATTCTGAAGTGTTTCGGGCAATATTATCTGCTCATATTCAGCCAAACGCTTCAGAACTCATTGGACGCCGCTTCACAGTGCAGATGGACAATGACCCAAAGCATACTGCAAAAGCAACCAAAGAGTTTTTTAAGGGAAAGAAGTGGAATGTTATGCAATGTCCAAGTCAATCACCTGACCTGAATCCGATTGAGCATGCATTTCACTTGCTGAAGACAAAACTGAAGGGAAAATGCCCCAAGAACAAGCAGGAACTGAAGACAGTTGCAGTAGAGGCCTGGCAGAGCATCACCAGGGATGAGACCCAGCATCTGGTGATGTCTATGCGTTCCAGACTTCAGGCTGTAATTGACTGCAAAGGACTTGCAACCAAGTATTAAAAAGTGAAAGTTTGATTTATAATTATTATTCTGTCCCATTACTTTTGGTCCCTTCACAAATGGGAGGCACATATGCAAACTGTTGTAATTCCTACACCGTTCACCTGATTTGGATGTAAATACCCTCAAATTAAAGCTGACAGTCTGCAGTTAAAGCACATCTTGTTCAATTAATTTCAAATCCATTGTGGTGGTGTATAGAGCCAAAAATGTTAGAATTGTGTCGATGTCCCAATACTTATGGACCTGACTGTCTATATATATTTATATATATATATATATATACACCGTATTTTCCAGCGTATAAGATGACTTTTTACCCCTTGAAAATCTTCTCAAAAGTCGGGGGTCGTCTTATACGCCGGTATACGGCATACTGACACTTTTTAGGGGGGGCGGTGCCGCCGCCGCCCCCGCCCCCCCCCTTCCAACAGAAGGGACACTAAGTACAGGGGTGGGCAGGGGCTACTGTTTCTTACCTGGCTCTGGTCCCACGACGATCCGGTCCAGGAAGCGCGGCTGCTCCTTCAGTTCGGCCACTGGATGTTCGCGCGGCTGCTCGGCTCCGCCTCCTCACCGGTGATTGGCCGCCAGAACTGTAGTTCAGGAAAGGCACACAGGCGGCCAATCACCGGCGAGGGGGCGGAGCCGAGCGGCCTCGCGAAAATCGAGTGCAGGAGCAGCAGGTAAGTGTTCAGTGTAGAGGTGCTGCTGCAACCACATATGCTGGCTGCAGCAGCACCATACTAGAACAGGGTTAGCAAGTGTAATTGGTGTCAGTGGGAGGAATAGTGCCCCATCATTGTGTCACTGACACCAACGATGGGGCACTATTCCTCCCCCCCACTGACACCAACGATGGGGCACTATTCCCCCCCCCACTGACACCAACGATGGGGCACTATTCCCCCCCCCACTGACACCAACGATGGGGCACTATTCCCCCCCCCCACTGACACCAACGATGGGGCACTATTTCCCCCCCCCCACTGACACCAACGATGGGGCACTATTCCCCCCCCCCCCCCCCACTGACACCAACGATGATGGGGCACTATTCCACCCCCCACTGACACCAACGATGGGGCACTATTCCACCCCCCACTGACACCAATGATGGGGCACTATTCCACCCCCCACTGACACCAATGATGGGGCACTATTCCACCCCCCACTGACACCAATGATGGGACACCATTCCTTCCACTGACACCAATGATGGGGCACTATTCCCCCCACTGATACTAATGATGGGGCACTATTCCTGCCACTGATACCAATGATGGGGCTCTATTCCTCCCACTGATACCAATGATGGGGCACTATTCCTCCCACTGATACCAGTGATGGGACACGATTCCTCCCACTGACACCAATGATGGGGCACTATTCCCCCCACTGATACTAATGATGGGGCACTATTCCTGCCACTGATACCAATGATGGGGCACTATTCCCCCCACTGATACCAATGATGGGGCACGATTCCTCCCACTGACACCAATGATGGGGCACTATTTTCCCCACTGATACTAATGATGGGGCACTATTCCCGCCACTGATACCAATGATGGGGCACTATTCCTCCCACTGATACCAATGATGGGGCACTATTCCTGCCACTGATACCAATGATGGGGCACCTATTCCCCCCACTGATACTAATGATGGGGCACTATTCCTGCCACTGATACCAATGATGGGGCACCTATTCCCCCCACTGATACTAATGATGGGGCACTATTCCTGCCACTAATGCCAATGATGGGGCACTATTCCTGCCACTAATACCAATGATGGGGCACTATTCCTCCCACTGACACCAATGATGGGCACTATTCCTCCCACTGGTGTGCATTGGAAGAGGGGTAGTCTTATACAGCGAGTATAGCCCAAACACTACATTTTAGCAGGAAAAGTAGGGGGTCGCCTTATACGCCCAGTCGTCTTATACGCCGGCAAATGCGGTATATATATATATATATAATACACACACACATACAAACTATATATAAAACAAATATACATACCGTATTTTTCGCTCCATACGACGCACTTTTTTCCCCCAAAAAAATGGGGGAAAATGTCTGTGCGTCTTATGGAGCGGCCGGCCTGGTATTCCCCCGTCACCGCCGCCGTGTTAGAATACCGGGCCGGCCTCTCGGTTCTTCTGTGCAGCTGACCTCCTGCGGTCCTACCTGTTCCTTGGTCCAGCAGTGTCCTCACCGTCTTTCTCTCCCCGGCGCCGGCATCTTTAGTGTGGGTACCTGTCAAATTCTGGTACCCGCTCCCCCAAAGATCCGCAGTCTCTGGTCCATCTCCTGTAGTATGTCCACAGTCTCTGGTCATCTCCAGTACTATGTCTGCAGTCTCTGGTCATCTTTACTACTGTATGTCCGCAGTCTCTGGTCATCTCCTTTAGTATGTCCGCAGTCTCTGGTCAGCTCCTGTAGTATGTCCGCAGTCTCTGGTCATCTCCTGTACTATGTCCGCAGTCTCTGGTCATCTCCTGTACTATGTCCGCAGTCTCTGACCATCTCCTGTACTATGTCCGCAGTCTCTGGTCATCTCCTGTACTGTGTCCGCAGTCTCTGGTCATCTCCTGTACTGTGTCCGCAGTCTCTGGTCATCTCCTGTACTGTGTCCGCAGTCTCTGGTCATCTCCTGTAGTATGTCCGCAGTCTCTGGTCATCTCCTGTACTGTGTCCGCAGTCTCTGGTCATCTCCTGTACTGTGTCTGCAGTCCCTGGTCATCTCCTGTAGTATGTCCGCAGTCTCTAGTCATCTCCTGTACTATGTCCGCAGTCTGTAGCTCCCTCCAGTACTTTGTCCTCAGTCTCTGGTCATCTCCTGTACTGTGTCCTCAGTCTCTGGTCATCTCCTGTACTGTCAGTCCTCAGTCTCTGGTCTGGTCATCTCCTGTAGTATGTCCGCAGTCTCTGGTCATCTCCTGTAGTATGTCCGCAGTCTCTGGTCATCTCCTGTAGTATGTCCGCAGTCTCTGGTCATCTCCTGTAGTATGTCCGCAGTCTCTGGTCATCTCCTGTAGTATGTCCACAGTCTCTGGTCATCTCCTGTACGGTGTCCACAGTCTCTGGTCATCTCCTGTACTGTGTCTGCAGTCTCTGGTCATCTCCTGTACTATATCCGCAGTCTCTAGTCATCTCCTGTACTATGTCCGCTGTCTGTAGTTCTCTCCAGTACTTTGTCCGCAGTCTCTGGTCATCTCCTCACTGTGTCCTCAGTCTCTGGTCATCTCCTGTACTGTGTCCTCAGTCTCTGGTCATCTCCTGTAGTATGTCCGCAGTCTCTGGTCATCTCCTGTACTGTGTCCGCAGTCTCTGGTCATCTCCTGTACTGTGTCCGCAGTCTCTGGTCATCTCCTGTAGTATGTCCGCAGTCTCTGGTCATCTCCTGTAGTATGTCCGCAGTCTCTGGTCATCTCCTGTACTATGTCTGCATTCCATTGGTTCAGAATATTTTTTTTCTTGTTTTCCTCCTCTAAAACCTAGGCGCGTCTTATGGTCAGGTGCGTCTTAGGGAGCGAAGAATACAGTTCATAAACATATAAAGTTATAATTGATATCAATGTTTAACCCTGCTGGTCCTGATATAAGGAAGAAAGAAGCTTTCTTCCTCACATCACAGCAGTTTCTCACCAAAATTCTCCAGCTCTGGGCTGGGAATCTGGGACAGTGATATTTTAAAGAGATGACCAGTGAGGTCTTCACGTCTCACCTTCATAAACTGGCCATCTCTGTAAAAGTGAATGACAGAAGGGTGTGTCCTGTGATGAGAAGTGAAGAAAATGTTCTCCGCTCATCACCTCAGCTTCATAAACTGGCGCACCTAAGAGATCAGCTGTGATCATCAGGATCTTGGCTTTTCTCTCTTTCATAAACGGACACCTTACACCCCTCCTCTCTACAGTATACATTCCTTTTGCCATTGTTAGTCCATGGAAAGTGCTCAGAGTTGAGATAAGCTGCCATTTATGAAGCAACTGTCTCTAAAATAGTTTTTAAGGCTAGGTTCACACATGTGCAGGTTACGTTTTAGTTTTTACACTTGCGGTTCTTGCCATGTTTTTGATGCATTTTGCGGGGTTTTTTAAATTGTTGCTAGGCAGATTTAAAATGCAGCAAAAACGCAATACGTGCTTTTCTGCCACGTTTCCACTGAATCCTATAGAAAAAAAAAACCCAAGTTTTTGTGTTCAAAAAAGTCCCAGACCCTTTCTAAAAAACACACCGGGTGAAAACGCACAGGTGTGAACATATCCCATAAGAAATCATGTTAAATGGACTGTACTGCATTTCTGCAAAACGCTGCAGAAAACTGGGCCCATCATGGCCACTAAGCTTGTAGCTATCTTCTTTATCTATTTATTACAGGTACTTATATAGCGCCGTCAATTTACACAGCGCTTTACATATATATTGTACATTCACATCAGTCCCTAACCCTCAAGGGGGGCATACAATCTAAGGTCCCTAACTTCCATTCATACATACAAATACGAGGGCCAGTTTAGACAGGAGCCAATTAATCTACCAGCATGTCTTTGGGGTGTCGGAGGAAACTGGAGTACCCGGAGGAAACCCACGCAGGCACAGGGAGAACATGCAAACTCCAGACAGGTGGTGCTGTGGTTGGGATTCAAACCAATGACCCTAGTACTGCCAGGCGGAAGTGCTAACCATTTAGCCACTGTGCTGCCCACCTTCTGCTTCCTCTATTCCTACATCACAAATGTGAGTGATAATGTTAGTCTAGTATGTGGAAGTATTGGGTGTCCATCTGTACATTTTTAGCCTTCCCTCCTACTTAATTGTTGTGAGTAACTTCTAGCTATTTGAGATAGACTGCTGTCTGTCTGTCTGTTTATATCTACTGATTAGAGAACTATGGGTAACTGTGAAGTGTAACAAGCTGAACAACCCTGAGAACTATAATTTGAAGCCTCCCAGTCTCAGCCTTGTTTCCAAAGTAACATCCAATTAAGTCTCATGTTATTGTCTGTGCAATTTCTGTAGACAAAATGTTTATACTCTTCCTTGCAAGCTTGTCTTGCAAGAAAAACCTGATATTATTTAAATCTGGCAATGTAAATCACACAAGTAGACAGCAAAGTGAAGATGTATAGTAGACTTTTGTTATCCTATATGTACCAACTTTCTGGCAGGATGAAGGGACCAGTGTTTTGCCGTGGTTAATATTGCCCTTGCCATACTTTTGTTATATTTTAGGGCAGCACAGTGGCTAAATGGTTAGCACTTCCGCCTGGCAGTACTAGGGTCGTTGGTTCGAATCCCAACCACGGCACCACCTGCCTGGAGTTTGCATGTTTTCCCTGTGCCTGCGTGGGTGCTCCGGCTTCCTCCCACACTCCAAAGACATGCTGGTAGATTAATTGGATCCTGTCTAAATTGGCCCTAGTATATGTATGTATGAATGTGAGTTAGGGACCTTAGATTGTACACCCCTTGAGGGTTAGGGACTGATGTGAATGTACAATATATATGTAAAGCGCTGCTTAAATTGACAACGCTATATAAGTACCTGAAATAAATAAAATATTTAAAATGCAATATATCACAGTGTACTTGTAAAAAGTGTAGAACGCAAACTGCCATGATATCAAACTTATTGCACAGCATTCTTCCTAAACCCTAAGTGTGTAGGATCCCCCTACAGTGCTACTCAAAATGCCACCCTTTACAGACAAGCTCAGAAAGATAACTGGATTTATGCTGCTTGCACGGGCAGTGACTTTAGACTTGGGGCCAAGCAGGCTCCATAGCATGGGAAGTTAGTCAGTTGCAGCTAAAGGGACATTGAACCCCTAGCAACCTTTGAGGGAACCCTGATTTAGAATGACTGTTTTACAGTATAAACAACAATATCCATCATGTAGTAACCAGTGACCGCCAAAACAGAGTTCGTCTTTCATTGATCTGACAGCAAAGGGTTGCAACAGGTTACTGTACTTGCCATACAATGTGGAGGCTGAGCTAAACATGGGATGTGGGAGCTTAACTATCTTGTTCATCATACACAATGCTTGCGCCTTGTGTCACTATAAAATAGGGAATATCAACATTTCTTGTCGGTAACTGCACAGATGTGTCAGTAAATAATGCCAGTCTTCTTGCTTGTCTCTGTTATGTATAACAATATATTGCAGATTTGTGTAGTAGACAGTCTGAAAGTCCAACTCTAGTTCAGTAGATATAGAATTCTGGGGTGCAGACGCTGGAACATATGACAGGTGGAACATGTGACATGTTCCAAAGGTGAACCTATCTCTATGAGGTGCCTTTGAAAAGCAGTTGTGAGTGTTGAATATGTAATGCCAGTGATGACAAGCCCCTGGTGTGCCCTTTGCACCAATGGTCCTGAGCTTAAATCACGACATGCATATGGCCCTCTGTTTTATCAGCTGAATATAAATTGCACAGTGCTGTATGTTTACAGGACCTTCGGACTACCTTATAAGTAGAGCCTTAAGCAAGGCCATACTTGGGTCGAATTCCAAACGATTTTTCGATCAAAAATCGAAAACATTGTTCGTTCTGTAATCCAATGGCGCCACCAATGATTTTGAAAATCATTTGTTTTTTTTCTCAAATTTTACAGCATGCCCAATAAACAAAATGGGGAGAAACCATGAAAATTGGCCGGTGCCATTGCCCCACTAACAGAGCGAAAATCGGCCTCTTATTCTTAGGTCCGATTTTCAAACAAAAAAAAGTTTGAAAATTGACCCATGTATGGCTGGCCTTACACTTTGCCTACTTATTGGGGGGATATTTTACTGTATCTGTCAGTCCTCATCTTTAGTGCCACCTACATAAGCTATAGTCACAATCATAACTGTAAATTACATGCAGCTCTGAACTGAAGAAAACTAAAACCTTGCGATTGGTTACTGTGCAGTTCTTTACAGCTTATTGGAACACTGGTTATTGGGGTTCATCAGTCCTAGGTGGAAGGGGGGGTGCTTGTCTAAGCTAATAAAGGCAGTCCTGGAATGGAAAGCTGGAAGTTGTGTTGGCATTTTACACCTGCTCAGCTGTCAGGCACCTATTGTACTGGCAGGAGCTGCCATTCCTGAGAGCCTATTAGGATAAATGCATGTGGACAAGCTCATTGCTAATTCAGTTCATAACGGAGGCTGCTGCCTGATCGTTCAGTCTGTTGTGATTTACCTTTGGTGTCCCTGTGAAGAAATCATAACCAGCACTGGTCTCACTCCATCTATCTCACAAGTAGCTGAGAATGAATTGAAACCTGCAGCTGCACATCATCTATTGCAAGGCTGTCCTCCCTTGTCCTGTTTGGGTGCAGCAAAATACATTACCAGCAACTGACATTAAACATGCCTGTGAATGAAAATAAACCCCAGAAACAAATGCTTCATCGGTTGTAAATTAAAATGAGATTCCCTAAGGCAGCAAAGGAGTGGATTGAACCTTTATAACCTTGAAATGTACCCATAGTGCATCATCAGTTTGTAGCCTCCCTGGTGTTGATCTGAAGACACAAAGTAAATGGGCAGGCTACTATAAATACTGGGATAGATAAGTGTGTTTAGGTGATAGTGGGATGGTTTTAGAAGATGAAGCATACGGGTACAGTGGCTATAGAAAAGAATCCCTCCCCCTTTTAAAATCACATTTTTGTTGCTTTGCAAACAATGAAAGACACAGTGTTTGTTTCATCTACTGTACTTACGTATAACATCCAAGCAGAAGCTATGACACCAACATGCCAGAAAACAAAAATTAAACAGAATCACTGAGTTGGAAAAAGATCAGCCCCTTGTGTCAGTATTTTGCTTTGATGACAGCCTTCAGTCTGTTGGGATATTCCTCTACTAACGTTTCACATCTAGACTTTGCAATATTTGCCCACTCTTCTTTGTAGAACTGCTCAAGTTCAGTTACA